GTACGTATTTTCTTGAAAGTTTAGACTTTTGTTCCTATCTAAGTTCTGTTCAATATGGTTGACCTTATGGCTGATCCGACTCGTGAAGAGAATGGCTCGCAAATTAATTCCTCGATGACCTGCACTACTACTCGTGTAAGCTCCATTCAGTATATACCTAAACATGATACAGTTAAACACACTGAAAATACGTATTTGTTGTGGAAACATCAAGTATCGTTAATCGTTGATGGTTATGGTTTGTTGATGGTTATGGTTTGTTGAAGTTTATTTCTTCTAATATAGTTGTTCCAAATAAATTTGTTACTAATGATGCTGGGCAACTTGAGGAAAATTCAGAATTCCTCGTCTTTAGGCAACAAGATAAGTTGCTTGCCTCTTGGTTGTTAACTACTGTGAGCATGGAGGTTCTGCCTCATCTTACAGGTCTGACATCTGCAGTTGCTATTTGGAATGTCATGACACGTTTATTTGGTGCACGATCTAGTGCGAAAATCTCATCGCTTCGCCACACTTTGCATTCGCAAAGGAAGTCAGGCTTATATGTTCATGAATTTTTAGCAAAAGTCAAAGTTGTTTGTGATTTTCTAAATGCCTCTGGAAGTGTTGTAGCTGAACAAGAACATGTTAGTATCATTTTAGCATGCCTAACTATGGAATTTGAATCAGTAATTGCTATATCTTCCCGAGAAGAGGTTTCATTGGAAATTCTCACCGAAATGTTGCTTGACTGTGAAGCTCGACAAAAGATGTTCTTAGGTGAAGGACTATCGGCCAATGTTGCTCAGCTGAAGCCTGATGGTGATTTGACTGTTAAAAATTCCACTGATGATCATTCATCTCAAGTGCATGATCAGCAGGGAGGTAGTTACCGAGGACGAGGTCGTGGACGTAGTTATAACTCCAACATACCACAATGTCAATTGTGTGGTAAGTTTTGGACATATAGTACATAAATGTTATCATCGCTTCGATCGTGATTACACTGGTATTGGTGACTCTAGTACTCCAGCTGAAAATTATTCAAAACGGCCAAATGGTTCAGGTGTTGATCAGCATCAACCCTCTGCACGGGGATATAATCATGCAGTGAATACGGTGTCATATCCTAGCTTTGTTCTTGCTCCTTCCCCTTATCTATATCCAGTCAGTTTGATAATTCCCAATACTTTGTTTTGCTCCCCATAAGCCTTTGCCTACCATCCATCTTCTGGAGCTTCAGTTGGTTCCTCCAATGATGTTTCGAATCCTTCTGTAGTAGGCCAGAATCCATTCTTGGCACCCACAATACATGCAAATTTTGTTTCAATGCTTCCATCCTTGGGTGTTTAGTCCTTCTTGAAGCCCACAAATGATATTGTTTGGTATCCTGACACTGGTGCGACCCACCATGTGACTGATGATCAGTCTGTTTTCCACTCAGGTATGGTGTATACTGGTGATAACGCCTTGCACATGGGCAATGGTGATGGCATTAGAATTGCACATGTAGGACAAAGCTCTTTATATTCTAGTATGAAACCTTTAGTTTTGCGTAACATATTGCATGTTCCTAACATCAAGAAGAAGTTAATTTTTGAATGCTCAGCTAAATCACGTTGTTGTGATTTTAGATCCTATGGACCTATGGCATCGACGCCTTGGTCATGCCTCCAGCGATGTAGTAAAATCTGTTATGAAGCATTGTAATGTCTCCTTTAATAAGAATAAATTGACACATGTTTGTGCTGCTTGTATGCAAGGGAAGGCTCACAAACTCCCTTTTTGTTCTTCTACCTCACAATATAATGAACCATTTCAGCTAGTTGTTTCGTTTTGGGTCCTGCTTCTTTTAATTCTTCATATGGATTTTCATTTTATATGTCCTTTGTTGATATCACAAGTAGATACACCTGGGTTTATTTGCTTAAAAGGAAGTCTGAGGTACATTCATGTTTTATTAATTTTTACAAGCTAATAGAGGTTCAATTTGGCTGCAAAATTAAGGCTTTGCAAACAGACGGTGGTAGTGAATATCAATCGCTTAAGGGGTGGCTACAGTAAAATGGTGTAGAACATCGACTCTCATGCCCAGGAACCTCTGAGCAAAATGGCCGAGCTGAGCGAAAACACATGTACATAGTTGAAATGGGGTTAACAATACTCGCTCAAGCGTCTCTACCCTAAAGTTTTGGAGCTATGCCTTTGTATCTGCAGTCTATCTCATCAATAGACTGCCCACTCAAGTTTTGGATGGAAAATCCCCATTTGAGATCTTGTATAACAAGGTGTCAGCATATGACTTCCTACGTGTCTTTGGGTGTGCATGCTTTTCATGTATGAGGTACGCTAATCACCATAAATTGGAGTTCAGGTCAAGGCAATGTGTTTTTCTAGGCTATAGCCCGTTTCATAAGGGCTATTGATGTTTGGATGATGATGGAATGGTGATCATCTCTCGACATGTGGTGTTTGATGAACATGTTTTTCCCTTTCCACAAAGATGCAACATCTCCACAAATAGCTCATGTTCTCCAGGGGTCACTGAAAACCTTCTTCCAGTTGTTACAACAATAGCTTATGGACCAATTGGAGTGACCGAGGGTACCACATCGCATACTGTAAATTCCTCATTTACTAATGGTTTGTTGTTACCTATTGAACAGGTTGCTGCAGACTCTGTCAATACGAATAGAACATCTTCATCCACACTGGTGGAATGTTGCCTCATGAGGAGCAGTTTGTTACAGACTCGACAGATGCTCCTATGTGTCCTACACCACCTAGGGCTGTGGCTGAAGAATTGGTTTCGGATGCTGGTATTGTACCTCGTCTTGGTGTTGAGGCGAGTTCTTCGAGTAATACTATGACACCCACTTGCATTAATCGGACTGTCCCTAGTCAAAATATTCACCCCATGGTTACGCGTGGCAAGAGTAGGATACGAAAACCAAAGGTGTTGAATGTCTCTTTTAGTGACAAAGAACCTACAATAATTTATGAGGCTTTCTTACACCCTCATTGGAAGGCTGTTGCACAGGCAGAATTTGAGGCTTTGACTCATAATAAAACTTGGACATTGGTTCCTCTTCCTAAAGGCAGGAGAGTTGTAAGTTGTAAATGGCTCTTTAAAGTTAAGAGAAATGCAGATGGCTCCATTGCACGTTACAAAGCTCGTCTCGTGGCCAAGGGATTCCTTCAACAACCTGGGATTGATTTTAATGAAGTTTTCAGCCTTTGGTAAAACTGGTTACTGTTCGAGTCATAATTTCCCTTGCATTAGCCAAAGGTTGGTCACTCAGGCAGGTAGACATCAACAATGCCTTTTTAAATGGACACATGTCTGAAGAAGTATACATGTTATAGCCTCCAGGTTATGAACAATGTGATGGCAATATGGTGTGCAAACTAAACAAGGCAATCTATGGCCTGAAGCAGGCACCCCGTGCATGGTTTGAAAGCCTTAAAGGGTATTTGATCTCAGAAAGGTTTTGTTGTGTCACGATCAGATGCCTCTTTGTTCATTCGATGCTGGTCTGACTTATCTACTGATCTATGTAGATGACATTATTCTCACATGAAGTTGTTCGAGTGAAGTTCAAGGTGTTATAAACAAGCTTCATGCAAAGTTTGCATTGAAAGACCTTGGGCTTCTTAAGTATTTCCTGGGCATCGAAGTCTACTATGACTCGAATGGTTTAGTATTAAACCAACAAAATATGTGCTGGATTTGTTATAAAAAAGTAGATTTGCAACAGATGAGGAACTTCCAACTCCAATGGTAACACATTGCAAGCTTTCTGCTGCTAGTGGAACACTCATTGATGAAGTGGTTAACTATAGAAGCATTGTAGGTGCTCTCCAATATGTGGTGATCACTAGGCCAGACATTTCCTATGTTGTTAATCGTGTCTGTCAGTTTATGCAAGCTCCTAGAGACTTACACTTCCACGCAGTCAAGAGAATTCTGCGATATTTGCAAGGCACTTCGGATTATGGCCTGAGGTTTTCATCCTCTTCTCGACTGTCATTGGTGGGCTTTGCTGATGCAAATTGGGGGGCTGACGTGGACGACAGGCGATCCATTTCAGGATATTACATCTATTTTGGTGGTAATCTAGTGTCATGGAGTTCTCGTAAACAACAGGTGGTTGCTCGGTCCACTGCTGAAGCTGAATATCGCAGTGTTGCCTCAGCTGCTTCAGAAATCGTATGGCTTGTATCTTTGTTCAAGAAATTGCAGTGTTCCTTTCATGGTAAACCGACTCTTTGGTGTGACAATACAAGCACTGTTGTTGTGTGTTCCAATCCTGTCCTTCATTCGAAGTTTAAACATGTTGAGTTGTATTTGTTCTTTGTTCAGGAAATAGTAGCAGATGGTCGATTGCATATGCAAGAAGTTCCGGCATATGAGCAGGTTGTTGATGCCCTCACCAAGCCACTGTCTGTCCCGATGTTTATCCGTCATCGGTAGAAGCTGTTGGTCACTCGGGTTTATAAGGATGGTTGTGCTTTGCTAACCAGTGTTTTTCAATGTGATGAAATTGAAGGTATAAATCGCGTGGGGAATGTTAGTATATGTGAGCAGCATGAAGTGTTTTCATCAAAAAGCAAAGCTGAAAGTACGAACTGCATGGGAAATGTTAGTGTATAAATGTTAGTCAAGTTAGTTGTAACCAAAAGCTATTAGGAATTGGTTTAGTACAGTTACTAGTTAGTTAAGGGAAGTTATTAATCAGCTGTTATAGTCAATCAACTGATATAAATGAACTGCTAAGCCTCTGATCATGTAAGCAAGATTCATTTCAATGAAATGCAGAATTTATTCTTTTATTCTCTCTTTAGTTTCTTCTATAATAGTTAGGTTTATATCATAACATGGAAGACCTCCGCAAAAAGGTCTACTTAAGCCAATATAATAATATATTTTAGTGTTATTATTCCCAAATAACATGACACATGTTTTTCTTAACTCTTGCCAAACAGCTGCTTTTCATGTTTTGGCAAGAGCGTGAGCTTGGAGACCTTAACAAATAGCTGAAAATCAAGGTTAAATTTTTATTAGCAAACATCCTTTTTGCACTTCTCAACTTTCATATTGTTTAGTAAATGGCATATATGATTACATATAGAAGCTTGTCCGGTTTCAGCTCGAGGTAGAAGGACAAAACCTGAAAACCATCCAAGGTTTGTGGAGTTCTGGTGCAGCAGCCGTTGAAAATAGCAGCTTTAATATGCATTCTTCTCACACCCACCATATGGATTGTGATCATGAACCTGTTTTGCAAATAGGGTAACCATTGATTTAATGTTAAAGATCGTCACAAGTTTTTTCTTCTTCTTTTTCAGTTCTGACTAAATTTTGAATGTTGCATTAGGTACAATCACTTCGTTGGGGCTGAAGGATCTTCAGCCCCCAAAAGCATGGCTGGTGAGACCAACTTCATCGACGGATGGATCATATGAGCCTTCTCCTACAAGAACTTAACTATATTAAATATTATATATATAGTATTTTATGATTTTGTGTATTGTTTTTGTACTGGGATTTGTAATCTTGCCAATATATAGAGAGAGAGATAGACAAGCTGCTCAAGTGTACAACAGAATCTTAAGGGAGCATTTCTCCTCTATTATGATATATGATCTTGCCTATATAAATATACACCTTTTTACTGTTGCATTTCATTTTCAGATACTCATGCAATTTGAGAGGGTTCTGGACTCCGGGTATTGGTTCTTCATATAATCTCAACTCATGGTCCATGACAGTGCTAAGCTTCGTCGTATGATCAGCAACTTAATTTGCGCCTCTGCTGTATATGTTGTATATGAACCTCCCAATTCCCATTGCGTGCTACCCAACTTATTGATATTCCCTAACTGTAAACGATTTATTCATCTCATGAGACTGATCAGGTACTTTCTTACTGACCAGCATATTTTTTCCAAGAGAAGACCTATAATTTAGGATGTAAGTGCATCGAGGCTTGAACAAATAAAGTTGTGTTCATGTTTTTTTGTTTATTTTAGGTTAAAATTTGAATTTCGTGTTGGTTTGCTTATTTCAAGGTATCCAAGTTTGGTTCGAGTTACATATTTGCCAATAAATTCGTTTAGCATTTGCGAATATTTTGTTTATACGGTTCGAGTTTCGAACATAGAAAATATGGAATTGTTAAATGTATGAGCAACGGTAGGTAGGGTTGTTTAGGGTTTATATATTGGATTTAAGACAAGGAAAAAGGATTAAGATGAAAAAAAACAAGGATAATAGAATAGATAAGAAAATAAAAACAAGGAAAAAACAAGTTAATAAAATAAAACTAAAGACAAAATATGTAATAAAAGAATTGAATTTATCTCCTTTAAAGTAGGCGGCTAAGGGTGTTTTGATGCTGGATTTTAACGAATGATTGCTTGTTGGAAAGATAATAATTCAAGGATCGCAATGGTGAAAACGGAATTGAGATCGAATGGTCGGATTAATGGGAAAATTGATTTGAAAATTTACCCCTGATAGGTATTGTAACACCCCCAACCCGTACCCAACCCGGATACGAGTCTGAGGTGACACATTGACTTTTCAAACTTTGACTCTTGACAAAATTCAAAGAAAATTTAAAACTTTCCTTAGAGTAAAAGCAGTTTAGTTACATAATTTGACCACAATAACCAAAATCGATCAGAGCATATTTAACTCAATCAATTAGTACATGCCAACTATATTCAAAATAAGAAAAATCATTTAACTCATCTATTTTCTGATCTGAAATCTTGTAAGGGAGATGTTGACCTGTATTGCTCCTCACAGCTTCCATATTCACTTTCTGTAACCTGAGTGTGAAACACTCACACGCTAAGTCGATGAAGTGAGGCATAAAGAAAACACATCTAATGGAATCCATACCCACACTAATCATGCATGACTGTTTTATGCTATCAAATTATACAACTCATTTATATATACATCAACATATATTCATGTATATTAGGTAACAGATACCATAACCCCTATCACACATATATCATATAATGCACACATCATATCACACATCATATACATATATCACATACATTATTCTCATATCACCAACCTGTTTATCCTTACTAATTCCCTTGTCATTACTTCAATTCCGTCATATGAGCATATAATGAATATAAACATATTATATATATTTTAATAAACCACAATACAATACTAATTTCTATAATCATATAATATATAAACACATAGCATCTCATATCACCATGACATATATGCACTTCTACCATGTCACAAGAAATACACATCATTATATCAAATTATGTTCTCTTTTTAAAGCTCATGTACACATGTGAGAACTATAGATATGTGAGTCTATATAGAGGTTGTGCACTATGCTGTCACCACAACTCGTATAATTGCACCGAAGTGCCACATATAAATGCACCGGAGTGCCGCGTAGAATTGCACCGTAGTGCCATATAATAATGTCCATAAGGACCACATATCATTCCTTAAGAATCATATACATATACTAGGGATCAAGTATGTGTCTCACCAGACTTCACACATGTTCAAAAGAATACATATATGTCCCGAAGGACCACATATCATTCCTTAAGAATCATATACATATGCCAAAGATCAAGTATGAGTCTCACCAGACTTCACGCATGTTCCAAAGAATACATATATGTCCCGAAGGACCGCGTAGACCCTCGACTCTTGGCATGCCAACTATACCCCTAGCTCTCAAGACACATAACATGGGCATTTTCTTTTATACTTATCATTTCACATAACACATAGTTCAATTACTCAGAACATTTTCATATGAGTCACATTTACATGTCACATAGCTTATATTTCTCACGTAGTTACATAGATCCATATATAACATATATCCCAAAGTGCATATAATCACATATATCATATCATAGCTTAGATCATTTCTCATATATTCATATAAACATACATCATATCTTGTTCACATATGATCATATATGCTTCATAACACATAGAAACACCTAGAACATTTTCTCATAGCTTATATCAATTTTCAGAGTCCTTTCATATTACCTGATGACATATATCATATATGTATATAATAATTGATATCATATCATCTACCTTATGCTCCTTTCTTTGTATTCCTTTAGATTATATAAATTATATCGTATTCTAAACATATATCATTATAATCTTTTCATATCGCTCCATAGCTATAGCATATAATTATCTTGCATATTCGTATCGTCCCTTTATATTCAAGTTTCCTAATTGATATATTATTTTCATTTCATTCTATCATTCAATTTTATTTAGTTCCCTTAACTCTCATTAAATCAAAAAGCTCTATTACTAATTCTCATAATAAATCATACCACTATGTACTTGTCCAACTCATGTTTCCATTATGCATATAATGTTACCCATGTTTACCTAGTTCATATCACTTCTCATGAACTCACTTTCATCATATTTTCCTATTATTGCATATTTTATCTCATAACCATGTATTCACATAGTCTTATATTTCATTATTATATTACTTATATTTGTTCTCCTATGACTCTTTATAAACATCTATTTTTCATTTCCCTACATCTCTTGACTTATCTTCTATATTCCTATAATTTCATAACTTATTTTATATTCTCACATTAACACTTAATCGTGTTTTTACATAAACCACATGGTACATACAAAACATATCAATTCAGATAATCAAACATACATACACTCATATTCAACTCATGCCTTTAATCATGAATTCATATGTAACACTTCAGGAAGTAGACTCATCGCAAGTCTTATTCCCATCACACACCATATACTATTGAATATGCACTCACCTGGTCTCATTAGTCAATCTCGATCTCTAATCTTTCCCCTGATCGATCTTACTTGCCAAATGTTCCAGAATTGTCTTATGCTCGGAATCTACATAAATGTACATTTTAAGGCAATTATTAGATACCTACACCTTGTAATTGGATACTAGCAACTTAAACGAACTTATTAAACCCATATTCACAATTTTCCTTTAGGGGGTATCGATTCCCTACTGGGGGTATCGATACCCTCATGACATTCTGGAATTTTGTCGTTTGAGAGGGTATCGGTACCCCTTTGAATGGGTACCGATTCCCCCTAACCAAGAAATCATTTTTCAGCACGAAAATTACTTCATTTCCTCTCAAACACTTCATATATCATCCCCTTTCTTATTCTTAACTTACATATACATGCTTAAACTCATTACTACTCATTTAATACATCTTTAACTTCAAAATCTAATTCTACATAGAATTCAAGATCACACTAATTTTTCTTCTTGTTCTAAATTCAATTCCATCACTTCATCTCTTAATCAACCATGACAGTCAAATTTATCTTCCAATTTGAGTAAAGAACTCTATTCCAGAATTTCATTCAAAAACTCTTAATCTTTAATCCCTCCTAATTCCACCATCCTTTGTTTTTAAGATGATTTAAGTTTTCCTTAAGCTTAATTATCATCCAATAATCATAACCAAACCTTTAGTTGAACAAATAATCAACTAATGAAGAAACTTACCTTTGCTTATGGCTTCACGGTGGAAAAGAAGAGAATGAAGAAGAGAAGTCTGGAACTCTCTCATATTTCCCACATTTATAATACTCAAAAGGGAAGATAAAATCTTTCCCATGAAAAGACCATTTTGCCCCTTTAGTTCATCCATCTTTGCTATTTAATCCAATATTAAAATTCTTTACTTAAATCCCAAGACTTTTAAATTTCATTTCTAAATTGAACACAAAACTTTCAAAATTGAACACAAAACTTTCAAAATTTGCAATTTAGTCACCGACCATGATTTGGGATGTTACAAATCTTCCCTCCTTTAAAGAAAATTCGTCCTCGAATTTTCACTGCATGCCTTTATAATATCACGTCTTCTAATATTTTCATGTTGCTTCCCTTAATATTTCCTACCATCGCTACAACCTACCATTTTCCCATACTCAATTCTTTATATACGTCCACCTCTTTATAAGTCCATATAATATTATTCATTATATAGATAGCAACCCCAAATCCTTAATCCTCACTATTATGGATCAATTGATCTTTTTTATCATTATCTATGTGCTTTGCACATAAATCGAGCTTTTGCTCATTTCTTAATCCTTGTAAGTATTATTATACACACACAATCTTTTCATATAACCCTTACATATTTGTTCAAAGAATAATCACCCATTCTCGTTCTTCTAATAATTGAAAATTGTATTATTTCAATATCAACTTATACTTATATCTCAATACCTTGTCTTACTTGATCGTTTAACTCCATCTTTGTCTTTTTCTATCCCTTATTCTTTCATTCCTTCCAACATCACAATCTCCTTATAACATAGATCACATCTTTTCTTCAGGCTCTCATACTCTTTCATATCGTTTATACTTATCCCTGATTACTGATCTTCATTGCATCTTCATAATTTGATAATCTGCTTTACTTATACAAATCTCATTTTTTTTACCATCTCTTGTACTTGTATTTTCTTCCTCAAGCTCCTTTTAAACATACCAATACTTTTTCTTGCCTACATCATATATGATCAAAACCATATCCAAATCCACATCATACTTGATTAACTTAACTTATATTTTCTTCAAATCTTAGAACTATTATCCATACGATAC